CTGAAAGGCTATGGCAGTGGTAGGGAATATTGAAGCTTTTCAAGTTTATTGCCCAAATTCTTTAACTACTGTGTAACTTTAGGATTTATTTTATTCTTGATGTGCATGGACAAGCTATGGAACCAATGTGGGTTTTTTTGTATTTGTCCTCAAGAAAAGGCTCTCAGGAATGGTACTGCATGGGACCCTGTGCTAGGCTACAATGGAAGATGTAGACTTAGGAAAATGATAATAAAAGCCAAGCACAATTCTGCAGTTCCTGTCAGGAAATTTATGAGGAGAGGAGAACCTTAATAAAACCAGGTGAAATTGATGCTTGAGGTTGTAGTTTTAAAATAAAATATTGATAACAGAATATAGCGTAATATACTGTAACTGAGTTTCTGAGCTTTCTGTATGACTGTGTAATGTGTGTATGGAGTGAAAATATTTAAATATTACAAAGTATGAAGGGGCAATAAAGTTAGGCACAAGAGCTGGCTGAAAAACAGTTCTGTGAGTCTGAAGCAGCTCTAATGAACCACCAGTTGTGTAGCGAGTTGTAAGTGGGGGTTTGTGTTACGAAATTGGGTCTCAAAGCAGCTTCTAATGGTGAGCAGTGAAGTTCCTTGTTTCGGATTGGGTATGATGTTGCAGGAAGCTTTCCTAATTTGCAAATAAGTAAATTAAGCAGGGAAAGAATATTGCTTGTACAGTTGCAATGCAAGCTTAGTGTTGGCAGTAGGAAAGGATGAGGACCGTGTAGTCGTTACTCTTTTTATTCTTATGCTTGTGAAAAGCATGGTTTGTCGCCGTGCTGCTTGGGGTGATGGGTTGCCTGGTTAATGATACTTTAAATTTAGATGTTGCTGATGGAATTCCAATTTGGAATTGGTGGCAGAACATGTTACATAGACAGTGCATCTCATTAAAATAAATATGCCATATATAATTTTTTATTGATCTGTTCTGCTGTGAGTCTTGCTCAGGCCCTTTTAACCAGAAGAAGATTCCTTGACAGCAAATTAAATGAATCTGCTATATTTGGCAGTTTAATATAGTAGGCTAAGAAAATTTCAAAAGAGGAACCAAAAGGTAGTTGAGTTGCTTAGTATTTGTGATGGTAAAGATCTTCACAAAAGAAATGTAATGTGTAAGTTCTGCTGTTAACCAACTTTGCTTATATCTAGCTAGCTTGAAGAGGTATTAGGAAGGAGTTCAAACAATAGACCTGTTCACACAAGCAGTTTCCTTCCATTTGCTGTAGTCATTAACAGGAACTTTAAACATAAAAATAATGCGTGCCCCAAAGTCTGATTTTGATACAGCGATTACTTCCTTTTATATTCACCTAGTAAAAGCCCCCTCATGCTACCCCATGGAATGAATTACTCTCATTCTTTAAAGAGTGTTTGTGACTGGTTGGTTGGGGTTTTTTTAAAATGCAATAACAGTTTTTCAGCCAATGTTCTATTGTAGCTCAGTCAAAAAGTTATTTAATAAAAGAAGGTAATGCATAATAGACTCTCAGACTCTTAAGGAAATCTAAGAAAGCTTTTTCCCCATGAAAGTTGTTACCAGCTGCCTCTAGAGGTGCAACAATATGAGTAATTTGTGCAATGCTATGAATGAAAATGTGACTCTAAAACATTTGTTTCTGTGCTCAAATCTTGATGATGCACTGTTGTACTGCAATCACAGCTCATAACATGCACTTTCCAAGCCTCAGAAGAAACTGACTGTAAATATAATGTGGTGAAGCTGTTCCTAGCAGTTGTCATGATTACTTAGAAACCTTCCAAAAATTAGATGCTGAAATTACATCAAATGCAAGTAAATGTTCTAAATGTGGTTTGTGCCATTCATTCAGAAATTTTAAACCCCTATGAGAGTTGCAATTTCCACATGAAAATGTTTGGTTTCTACATAAATGCCTGAACTTACTGCTTTGTGACCTTAAAGAGCTCCAAAGAAGGAAACACTTTTAGTCTACAAATAATTCATGAAGCTTTTTAATACTGCCTTGTTTTCTTAAGAAAAAATGAAAGCTGTAAACCTTCAGTGTGAGCTGAATGAGCCATCCAGAATGAACTTCCAAAAGGCCTGCAATGAGATGTATTTGGTGACATCTATACCTCTCAAAGCCTATCAGTTTGTTGCAGAGTTTCTTTTTTGCCCTTGCTGTTCTTGAACAGGTGAGAATACACTTCAGCAGAAGAGTCTTGAAGGCCTCATGGGTCGCCAGAATGAATTTACAGTAAATGCTGTTAAAGTTTTGAACTTCAGCGGTTTTGATTTTCAGTGGTTGTAGTACAAGCATATATGTGGAAACTTTTTTTTTTTTTAATACGTTGAAACAGTTTTGATCAAATCTGTTATGGTGCTTCTGGAATACTTGTTCTGTTAGGTTTTGCTTTTGTTGATAGCTGTTCAGACTAGTGTAAAGGGTTTAGGCTAATTACATTACTTCAAGCATATTATTTCTAAAATCATAGTTTCTCAGAGTAATTTATCAGAATTCTCTTGACACTTACCCTACAAATGCTCTTTACTGCAGAGCATCATTTCGGTAGAACTGTTCCAGCTTTCCTTGCTTTTAGTTAGCTTGTTTATTCCATGAGCATACTTGTGGGTAAGTCATGTTGAAATGATATACAACCAGTAGAATTTCATTCCTAGTTGCTGCATGTTACTGTGTTTGAAATACTAAAGAATTATACACGATCATAGAAAAGAATCATAGATCTGTAAACTTGATTGCATAATATATATGAGATGATAGATCAGAGAGGCAAAGCCAAGAGACATTTCTCTCTTCTGAGCCTGAACTGTAGGAATTTCTAGTGTACATTCTGCCTTGATGGTTCTTAAGATTCTTTGAAAGCAAAGCTGAGAAACAGAAATAGAACTTTTGAATTGTCTTCTTGCTGCTCTGAGATTCTAGGTGGGTTCATTTCCTTTTTCAGGAGTGTCAGCAACTGCTGATATCTTACAGCTATTGAATGTACGCAGGGCTTGGAAGCAAGTTAATTGTGACTGTAAACAGCTTTTACTTTTTAGAACTCTCAACTTTTATCTTCAGTAAAAGAATACATTTAGTCTGTGTTCTTGGCCAAGTTTATCTCCCTTTATGTATTTCCTGTTACTTTGAAGGGTGCAAAGGTTCTCATGTGTAATAGTTCCTGGGAACTAAATTTATACTTAAAATGCAGACACGGCTTTATTTCTGAAGAAATACGGTAGTAATTTTTTTTTTTGTAATACCCTCTTCTAAGGACTAACCGAAGCAGTGAGAGGCTTTTGTTCTTGTACTTTTTTTTAAATTTTGGTTTTTTGAGAGCTTAGGAAGAAAGATCTTCAAACAGCTTTTCTGTTTGTTTAGCTTTTCCCAGTTTTTCCATACTGTTGAAACAAAACCGAATAATTAAAGTACCACCAATGGGATTAAGCTATCAATGGATTTTTTTCCTGTAAAGAGTTTGTAAGTTTGTTTAAAAGCTCTTTAGGCTCTTCATCATAGCCAAGTGTTCTTGGGTCTGTTCCCTGCTTTCCTCACCTTCCACGTCCCCTGTGGAAAATCTAGGGTGATTACATGTGGGACATTATAAAAGCTTTGTCTAAGGATGTTTGCTGTATCTTTGACTGATGATGCTTAATATATGGCTCCAAAAGTACCCATCGAAGTCTGAGTGAGCTTGTAAATGTGCCTAGACACTTATCAGATGACTTTTAGTTAATCAAAGATGGGAGGAAAAAAGATCCCCTTGATTAAAGGTAGCACTCTAAGAGAAGCAGCACAGAGCTACTTAAATCTTGCTTCCCCCAAACACGCACACACCTCTTTCTCTTATCTGCAGATTTGGTGTCTCAGGGTATTTTAGGTGTTCTAATTCACCACGGTTTATCAAAAGTTGAGAGACAATGTTGTTTGGCAGTCTCTGTAGCAAGAAAGGAAGCATCTTTTGTTATTGACATCCTTTTTCTTAGCTCTGCTCTTGCTTTTTGCCAACTGCTCATTGTCTATACTTGCTTATTTAGTATTCACAAGGGATTTTACAAGTTCTTATCAGTTCGTTGCCACAGCACATCATTTCCTCTTGTCATCGTTACTCCTTAAACTGGAGGGAGAGAGGATTTGCATTAGAGCTGGCAGTGGTAAAAAAACACCATTCATGAGTGCTGTGTTCTGAGGCAGTTTGTAGTAAAGGTCACATTTCTAGTACGGATTCTGACATGCCTTTCCCCTCCATCTCTTTTCTAGGGAAAGGAAAACTTTTTTTTAATTGCCAAAGGCTAAAAATATCCAGCGCTTCAAATATTCTTCTTAAAAGATACAAGGAAGTGCAGCATAAAAATAGCCACAGCTGAAAAGCTTGACCACCTTTGAGTGCTGGGGAGGGGTTGGTTTGGGGATTTTATTGGGTTTTTATTTCAGTTGGTTTTGGGTTTATTTAAGCTATCTGCAGCTTCTTCCTCATTTTTTAATACTCTGAAAAATGTGGGGTCCCTAATGAGAGCTCAAAAACAAGTAGATGCTTTACTGTTTTCTCCTTTTGGGAAATAAGATCCATTTGAAAAACTGAGTGATTCTATGCAGTACTGGCAGGGGAACTACTGGTTCCACTGTGCATCTTACTTGTTTCTTCATAGCAAGTTTAAGTCTTCTGCTGAAGTACTGTGACAGGGATATAATACCAGTTTTGAAGCATGTTCCCCAAGCTTGTGTTCTGAAGCAAACTCATGGATTTAAGGAGGATTGTTAGTAGAAACCATGGTGTTCCTTTGGTCCCTTGACTGTCCTGTTCCCTCGCTAGCAGTAATATAAGAAATGGGGTTTCTGACCATGTTTTACTTTATTTAGCTTTGGGGTGAGGTCCTAGTAGTTACGGTATTTTGTTTTGAAACAGAATCGGGTGCAATGGCTAAGGTTGAAACAGGCATTCTTTTACTTCTTTTACTATCTGCCTTTTTTACCACATTTTTTACTTGTTTACTAATTGATTGTTAATTTATCTTTTTAGCAGAACTGAATTGGGAGAATTCTTCATTATTTTAAATGTGAAGATTTCATCACTAACATCTGTATGTTCATACATCAACTTCCAAGAAATAATAAAGCTCATCAGTGGCAATAACTGTTTTTGGCATACACTGACATTTGTTTGGAAAAAAACCCAGACAACAACCAAATAAACAAAAAACCACCAATAGACAAAAACCCAACAAACTTTTTGAAGACTTGTGTCAAATGACGTCAATGGCCAGTTTGTTCTCCTTTACTAGCCCAGCTGTAAAGCGTCTGTTGGGCTGGAAACAAGGAGATGAAGAGGAAAAATGGGCAGAAAAAGCTGTTGATGCTTTGGTAAAAAAGCTGAAAAAGAAAAAGGGTGCTATGGAAGAACTGGAGAAAGCCTTGAGCAGTCCAGGACAGCCTAGCAAGTGTGTTACTATCCCCCGCTCTTTAGATGGACGACTTCAAGTTTCTCACAGAAAAGGCCTTCCCCATGTAATTTACTGTCGTGTTTGGCGTTGGCCTGATCTACAAAGCCATCATGAGTTGAAGCCATTGGATATTTGTGAATTTCCTTTTGGATCTAAACAGAAGGAAGTCTGCATCAATCCATACCACTATAAGAGGGTGGAGAGCCCAGGTATGTTTGAACATGGCTGTCTAAAAACTACAGAATCGCCAGGAGCCACCTCTTTTTCACTCCCTTCTCATTCAGTGTTGTATAACGAGTTACATCTGGTGTGTGAGGGAGCTTGGAAGAGGAATATTCGAAGTGTACTTTTCTGGTGGGGGTTTTGGGGAGCTGTGCTGTCCATGGTGTACTAACTAGTTTTCTTTGTCGTAAGTCACATTTTTCCTACAGATCTCCTAAGCCTGCTGCTCTTAAAACTAGTGGCAATGTCCTCATTTGTAATAAAATAGAAAGCAGTGATAAAAAGATTTTGGTTTCTTTGAGAAACTTGTTTAAAAACCTCAGTCCTTGCAAGAAGGTTGGTAGCCTTCTTTCAGGAACTCAATAGTTGATCAGTGAGTGACATGAATTGAGGAGATTAAAAACAAAACCAAACCAAGAATTCTAGGGCATAGTGTTCCCCACTTGACTTCCCATTAACAAGCAGTAGAGCTGAAGAGAAGCAAGAGTGATGATCAGTTAGAGTAAGGTACGTACCAAATTTCTCAGGTAACAAGTCTGCTATTAAGGCATGATGTCATGGGAGGAGATGAGGAGGATTGTGGTTACGAGTGGGAGAGATGAAGTGTTTTGCTTTGGAAAGTATAGTGAAAGTTGCTTCTGTTGTTCCACAGAATGGTTGTAGCTCTATTGCAACCGACTGCAGTGCTCAGTGCTCTACTGTAGCACTTGAATTCCACACTCCAGCACTCTTGAATTTAAAAGTTAAAACTCCAGCTTAGCAATAGTTGTATATTGTAGTACAGATTTTGTTTGTCTTCAGTGAAAAGGACTGTATGGAACTATATAGTTAGACTATAGTAATATAGACTGTATTCCCATTTTCACTGATTTGATAATGTGCGCATACAGTGAGTTTTGCACTTCTAAATCAGTATGTTGTATGTGCTATGTGTGGACTGTTTGGTTTTGGTTTTTTTGTTTTGTTCTGTTTTTTAAAGTCTGCTTCCAGTTGCGTGAAATACAAATGTGGTTTTGCTCTGATTTTTGTGAGAGTAAAGTTTAAGCCTTTTAGGAAGCATAATATAAAAAGATTAAGGAGAGAAGCTGTGGTAAAGGTATGACAGATGAATCCCCTACTCCTCTTTTGACTCCAGCTAGTGTTGAAGCTTTCATGATAAGCAGAGTAGCTCATCGTTTGTATCTCCTTCTGTCTCAGTTTTTAATCTAAATTTCCCTGGTTTTTGTTTTCTTTTCAGTTCTACCTCCAGTGTTAGTGCCTAGACATAGTGAATTCAATCCACAGCACAGTCTACTAGTTCAGTTCAGGAACCTAAGCCACAACGAACCACATATGCCACACAACGCGACATTTCCAGATTCTTTCCAGCAGCCCAACAGCACTCCATTTTCCATTTCGCCAAACAGTCCCTATCCACCTTCTCCAGCCAGCAGCACTTACCCAAGCTCCCCAGCTAGCTCTGGACCGTCTAGTCCCTTTCAGCTACCGGGTAAGTACAGCCCAAATGTCAATTTAGTAAAAATAATTAAAGTGTCACATGTTGTTGTGACTTACTACCTCAGGAATTTTTGATAATTGCAATAAATTAGTCTTCCATTTGCATTTTTGGTGGGTTTCTTTCTAGTTTTGTCACTGGTTAGAGTTAATTGTTGTAGTTTCATTTTTCCCAATGCTTTTTTGTCACATACTGTAGTGGTGAGTTATTTTGCACAGCTTCAATGTAGAATAACTGATACCTACTTCAGAAGAATAGGAGGGGAAAAAAAGCACATGTGCAAGACTGAGCAAGAAGTTTATTGATGTCTTTCTCTGAAAAACGACATATGTGGTATTTGACTGGGAAAAATAGAACAGATTTTTGATAGGAACTTAACCAATTTGAGTGAAAATAGGGGGAAAATACAATTGATAGAGGCAAAGGAAAGAAGCCTTACTGAGTCTGGTTATTGGTGTGGTTTACAAAGCCTAGAAGTTAGTCAGTTAAAGAGCTTATTTTTCCAGTAGTTCAGTCGCCTCATCTTTGTTCTTTCTGGCTGGTGTGTCTGTCTGTTCACCGACGTGTCCCTCTTGGGTACTAACTGTGATCAGTGGCCAGATGTGTTAATGGTGTCTGGAGGGAATTGCTGAAATAAGGGACCAGTACCAGTGTGTTGGTACACTGACTACTGTGCTGCATGGAAGAATGCACAGATCCACACTTTTATTATGAACGTAGTCTACAGAAGCAGCAAAAAATTAACTGGTTTAGGCCTTTGTTATGCTACAGCAAAAAAAATTATTTCTTATACTAGTTTCTTTTCAAAAATGGAGAAGGTAAACAAGAAAGATAATGTTTGTGTGAATAAGTGGGAACTGTAGTCATCTTGTGTAGCTGCAGGAGTGCAGTTGTTAAAGAAAAAAGGCAGAAAGTAAAAAGCCATGTCTCTTAGTTTTCCTTAAGTGTCCAGTCTTGTTAGTCACATAGGTAAGAATCCAGCTATTGAAGGAGGTTGCTGTAAAGGCAGCTGGCTGGGTTGTCTTCACGTTGCTTTCAAAATGGATCCAAATGTTTTAACATCTCTTGTTCAAGAGCATTTTTGTGTGTTTACAACTGTAGAAAAAAACAAATATTCTAAATGTTGAAGTTTATTTTGGTTTATTCTTTCTTTTTCGTCTTTGTAGCTGATACTCCACCTCCTGCATATATGCCCCCTGATGATCAAATGGGGCAGGATAATTCTCAATCTATGGACACAAGCAATACAATGATCCCTCAAATCATGCCAAATATATCTACTAGAGGTGAGTTGTATAGTGTGTAAAATTAACATAGTTTGGCTTCCTACAGCTCATTACCAAATTGAATGAATAGTTTTAAATGGTGCCGTAAACCTTGTTGATAAGTAGAAGGAGTCCTCCAAGGCAAACTGTGGCTGTAACAGAAAGAACTGAGAAATAAAACATGCCTTGCTCATTTGCATCTCTTGCTTTTAAAGCCTCAGGTGCACAGCACTGTTTATGACAAGTTGGAACTTTTTTCATTTCTTAGAATTACTTTTTTTTTTTCTGCTACCTTTGCCTGCTGTTGGAATTATGTATGCACAAAGGCTCTGAAAATGGAGTCCCAAAATATCCATTATAGCTATTGTTTTTAAAAGTGGACAAGAGAATCGTGTTTCACCTGTGGTCACAGTCATCTGTCTATTAATATCAGGCTTATGATAGGAAAGATAATTATAATATCAATGGACTAGCTAAAATGCATAGAAGTAAAAATCATTAAGATATTAATCAGGACTGTTCTTGCCAGTCATAACGGTCGATTAAGCTTCTAGTTATTCTAGTTATAAGCTTCTTGATATTTTGGAAGGCCTGCTTTATAGTTCTAGATGTAACATTTTAACTGGTATTTCCATTTTGCTTATTTTCAGATGTTCAGCCTGTTGCCTATGAAGAACCCAAACACTGGTGTTCGATTGTGTATTACGAATTAAATAATCGCGTTGGGGAGGCTTTTCATGCATCTTCTACAAGTGTCTTAGTAGATGGGTTTACAGATCCCTCCAATAATAAAAACAGGTTCTGCTTAGGTTTGCTCTCAAATGTGAATCGCAACTCCACAATTGAGAACACTAGACGACATATTGGAAAAGGTAAAGCTTGCTTGCATGATTGAGAAGCGAAGTCCTTGTTTTCGTTTCAACTTTTTTATTTCAACTGTGTAGTGCAATGATTATTCTCCAGTGAGAACAGTAGAAGTAATCTGTCATACATTATCTAGCTCTCCAGTATCTGAAGACAACTTACGTAGGCATGGTTTGATTCTAATTGGTCTAGGAATTGCATATTCCTTTAGCACTAATTTAAAAGATCATACTTTACTTCTTCCTTACCAGACTATATTAGCAGAGGGGCTTGTTTGTTATAGTTAATGATTGTGTGTAGAATTTTGTGTTTCAGCACCAAGAAACATTGCAGGACTTTTGATATTCCATGTTGTATCTAGTTCTTAAATCAAACTCTTCGTGCCACTTTACAGTATATCAAAGATTTTTAAATTATTATTATTTTGATGTTCATGCAAGGTATTACGCTGCTGTCTACACCATGTTCAAATATCTTGCATGTGTTGACAGCAGGACTTTGAAGTGCTAATGCAAAACTCCAAGAGCTCATTTGTCTGAGTGAATCCATAGGGTGTGTAGGTGCGTGGGAGGGATTCCTGCAGACAGCAGGTTTTGCAAGATCTTCTAGTTTTCCTGTACTGTTTGGCTGATAGCATATATAGGTGCACAGTTTTCATCTCTGAAGGAATGTGCTTGGTTTGTCTTAAAATGTAGTACTCCTTTTCTGAATATCTCCTTTTTTGTAACTAAGTCCTAAAAAGATAACATCATTTCTCTTGTGCATATCTAGAGGCCTTTTTAATTGAGGTTTTCCTATGAAAGTCACTGTTGCTTGTAGTATTCAAGACCTATCCTGTCCTATCGCAGTATTTTAATTAGAAATAACTATAAATATGGCAAAATTGTTCAAATAATTTGGAGACCATGAGTTGTGTTAATATCTGTTGGAAACTTGGTTCTGCAGTGCTGTTGTCTGAGAAAATGTAATGTTACAAACGGGAATAACTGATTTCAGGGGTGCTGGTGGTTTGTCAGGTTCTTTTGTTTTGGCTTACCCCTTTCAATGGTACAGGCAGAGAAATCTTGCATGTCTGTCTAAGGCCAGAAATGTAACAAGATTCCAACACTGTTGTAGAGAGTAGTATTGGCTGCAGGGAGCTTTAAAATGTCTTCATCTCTAATACTAATTATTAAACTAAAACTTTGCTTTATAGGAGCAGTTCTGAGGACAACTAAGATTGTTTTGTGATAAAATACTATTTACTTATGGCTTTTATTCAGAAGGTCTTCATTTTTTACCCCCTTAAAACTACGCAATCCTATTTGCTAAGGTGTTTTTTTCTGCAGAAGTGTTGCATTACAGGTGTAAATGACTTTTAATTGTGCACTGGATTAGTTTTGAAATATGTGTTCTTCTCAGACCGTTGTATTACCCAGCTCCCCTCTTCAGAGACCTCTCAGAAGGTCTTTACCTGAAAGAAATTAACTAGCAAGTGGTGATCTCTGCCTTTTTAAATGAATAGGGTTCTATTGTGAAAATGCATTCTTGCCCACTCCAGATTTTCTGATAGCTGCTTATAGTTGATGAAGCCAATGGTTCCTCTATGTGACCTTCATCCTACCGTAGTCCCAAATGGCTCCAGCAATGTTCACAACAGTTGTTACTGTCTGAAAGATTAACTTGCATCTGTTGACTTGCTGCAGCCTTCTCTGACAAGCCATGGGATAGTCTGCAGTGGATTCTCAGGGTATTGCAAGAAAGATTTAAACTGAACTGTATCCCAACCGTATAACAGTGGTGGGTGGGGGAAAGGGAGACGATCTTGGAGAAGGAAGGTGAGTATCTCAACTGAAATAGCAGTGAGAGTCTGTGTTTGGATGCTGAAAGAATCAGCAGCTTTATATATAAATTTTTAGTCAGAAATAGTGTCATATAGGCTTCAGAACGTAAAGGGAGGGATGTAGTTGCATACATAGCTGAATCCAGGCAGATGTGATAAACCTAGAGTCTTTGATTTAGGGTCTGTAAAAGCTGATGGTATTGAAGTTGTGCAGCTAATTTAACTTAACTCTGCTTTTGCTTGATGAAATACATTGAAATTAGAACAGACTGTGGATATACTCTCTCATTCATGTCTATCACTGCCTCTTCTCCTAGTTTTTATTCCT